TTTGAATCTCACTGTCTTCAAATCTCAAACTGAGGTTGGATGAAATCAGAGTTTCACAATCCAAGTCCCTGGAGTCATTTAGAGTTAACCCATAGTGATTGAAAGAGGTAGGAAAGGTGATTTAGCGTTATTCACATCCCACCCCCATCTTCAAACACACAGCAGCTCTGTGTGTGTGTGTGTGCATGTGTACGGAGTGCACCTGTGCTCACTCTCTCTCTCCCTCTGCCAGATTCTAGAAAAGATTTTATTTGAACAAAGAATCATGTCTAAAAATAGTTGGAAAAGCACTGGAAAATAGTCCCTTAAGGTTTTTCCCAGCTCTCACTTATGAAAGCAGTTTTAAAGAGAACTTGACTCTCTTTAACTAAAATATAATTTTTAAACTGTGCTATCAAACATCTTAAATCATAAATTTCAGAAATACCCTCAAAGAGAAAAATCTATGTCAAAAAATGGCTGAGTTCTTTGAAATGGCAGTTATAGGTCACTGCATGATTTCCATGTTTTTTGGCAGAAAATCATTAAATTTCTCTTGATTCTACTTTTAAAAAACATTCCTTCTTTTTCTTTCTTTTTATATAAATATAAGATAGTATTAGTATTCATAATCAGAAGTCATCAAAATACACTTCACAAAAGAAAAGCACTGTTCTTTCAAGACACCAGGGAGTTCATCATTTTCCATCTGTTCTTGTTTCTTGAAAGTTTATCATATCATAGGTTGTGTCCTGTGAATTTTCCTTTTCTATCTTTGTTCATATGCTGTGTGTGAATAAGGTGACAGGTTACAGAGAAAGAAGGGGGAATACTTATAGTTGGGTCCCTTTGCTGCATGTTTTTTAAACACTTATTTTAAACCACTGTTCACTAAGTGATTGCTAAACATTTCCATGCTGTTCATATATTAATGGGCTACCCATCCAGGTCAGAACTTCAAGAGACCATCACTTTTGAGCAGTTCTTTCCAGTGGAACTTCCTGTAATAACAGAAATCTCTATCTTTGCTGAGTAATACTGTGGCCAACACAGGTAGCTTTTTAATACTTAAACCATGTCTAGTGTGATTCATGACCTAAGTGTTCATTATCAATTTAATGTAAATTTAAATCATGAGATGTGGTTTGTGACCATCTATTGGATAGCAGCTCTAGAGAATCTATGAAATTGGCAAATCAGTTCCAACTTTATGGAATAGAAGGTATGAAACCATTTTTTTTGATGTTATTATGGTCAGAAACATTACAGGTTTTTATACTTTTAGGATTTAATTAAAATTTTCTGGCACATAATAAAGTTAATAAATGACTGGATGATATTAATAAGTTTCCCCTCTTCTGTACCCAGGTCTTACTAACTCCTTTATCGTGGGTAAGGTCACTTGAACACCTATGACTGCCGGACCTGTAAGCCCACTTCCACAGCTACCCCTTCTTGGGACCTCAGAGCTGGGCACTCTACATGTGCTGCTACTTCTGATTACCTTGATTACCTGTGGGCTGTGCTCAGGATCGCTGTTAGCCGTGCAAAGGGTTTGCAGACTCCAGCCCTCTCTTCACTCAGCTCCATGCCTAGGAATTCCCTCCACTTGCTCCCCTAGAGCCCTAAATAGCTATGGCCATCTGGACTCGTCTGTATTACGCTGACCTAACATTGTTTGGGGTCCAGCTTTCAGTTACAGCTGCTAACAAACTGGAGTGTGATTACACCAGGGATCAGAGTCATGCCATGGAGGGGACAGAGGAGGTATCACATGGACAATGTCACTATACAGATACTACTTAAGTATGCATTTCTTTGTCCTGGGGACTGAGTTAAGTATTTTCATCCTCAGAACACCACATAGCTTCCTCTTTGTACATTTTAGATGTGTGCTTAGACTCAGGGAGGTTAAATGACTTTCCTGGAGGCACATACCTAGGGAATACAGATCTATGATTTCTATTTATACGCTTAGGCTTTCTAGTTTTCAGTCTTAATCACAACACAGTTTATTATAGAAGAGGGAGAGCTCTACAAAATCAGTGTAGGCGACAAATCTAAGAGGAACTGGATTTTAGATGACTATAAAGAAGGTTTTTCTACCAATTCAAGCTCTAGAACACCAAATCCCTCAGGTTGTGAAATATGCTGCACTCCTAGTGAATAGCTCATAAGTCGACAATCTGATGCTGGCAGATCAGAAAATAGTAAATGTCAGTTTCCAATAAGTGAGAGTTCAGGAGTGATGAATGAACTCTCTGGGTCTATACAATACATATTTCTTCTGAATATAATTTTTTTTCTTGAGGACATTTATTGCCAATTTATTCCTATATGGCATGTTTTTATTTTCCATGCAATTTATAAAGCCAATTCTTTTTTGTGTGCAACCAGAATGTATTTTGTTCATTACTCTAATTGGCATAAGGAGAGCACCCTCTTTATGCAAGCCTGCATAGGAATCCAAATGGCATTTCCTTGGTGAAAAACAATGGCTTGGATCATGGTGACTTAAGGATGGTTGCAAAGGTAGACTAGAGAAATTGTGGGCAGGAGAGGAAGAATAAAGTCAGTAATTTTCAGGTTAAGCAATGAATCCTTAAATAATAATAGTATGCTACTATTAGTGTAATATATCCCTAATTTTGTTGCTATGCTTTTCTTTTTTCCCCCTAAAAGATTATTTATTTATGGATACAGAACAGAAAGATTTATTTATTTATGCATACAGAACAGGCCAGAGTGCAGGGGCAGTGAAGGGACTCACCAAAGATAGAGTGGAGAGCAGAACAGGCAGATGGACGAAGTACACTGCTGAGGGGAGCAGCAGGTGGGTCAGGAGAGGTCTGCCGTGCCATGTGGATCACCTCGGTGCAGGGGATGAACTGGCACTGAAGCAGCTGCAGTTAGTTTGCAGTGCTGTGACCTAACCCCTTGTGCCACCAGGGAGTGATGCTATACTTTTCTAAGCTTTTGTAGAGGTCAGGTTCTACTTCCTTTCTTTTTCAAGGAGTCAGTATTTTTCATGAGCTCTTGCATGTATTCTGCCCTATCTCTCCTCTGCAGGATGGAATCCTTGGTCATATTTATCTTGATTTATAACACCAATTGGCATTTTAATACATGATTATTGACTCTCAATCTCTGTGACTGTTCTATATCACAATCTATATATCTATAGTAATAATATTACAGTAAATATTAGAAAAGTTTGTTTCATGCATTATATAGATTTTGCTAGTATGTATATGATTTCTGTAAATTGAGTTGGTTTAAAATTACCCTTATTTAGAGCAGGTTTTAAAGATGTCTTCTTTCTAGATAATTTCATTTTGAACAGATTTTTAACATAAGGCCCATCAGATTTTCAAATAACTAACTCAGGCACAGATCTTAGAACTTCAGAACTCAGAGCAATCCTTCCCTATTCTTCCTTATCTTTAATTTTACAGATGAGGAAGTCAGGGTTAGCCCAAAGTCATATAGCCAATTTTAATAACTGGGATAAAGCTCAGCTCTATGGCACCTTTCTGTCATACAATCTTTTTTTTTTTTTTTCTGAAATAAGCTGAAAGTTCTACAATGTAAAACTTTCATAGGAATTATCAAATTGGATATTGCTTTATAATTTAGACACATTAGTCCTACTGTTAAGTTTTACAAAGCATACATGCAAAGTTCTAACAAATTAGTTGTTAATTTGTTATTACAAGTGATATTCACAATTTTACTATTGTGGTAGTAAACAGTGGAAATGCACTTCATAAAGTTAATATTTCCTATTCTTCATATGACCATTTTATTCTTAGTTTGTAATTCAAATTGTAGTATACCTAGCATACTGTTATTATGCTGTCTTGGAGAAGCAAGGCTCTAGTGGCAGCCCATAAATAGTCCTACATTTTATTAACATCAAATGCCATAATGAGGGTATTTTTCCTAACATAAAATGTAGTTAACCCCTCTAACAATTACGCAAGTGACCTCCATATTAGCTCTGTTAACTGAAAATAAAATCTCAGTGATAGAAAATGAGTGTATTAGATAAAGTGAGGATTCGAATCTGGGAAGCAAGGCAAAGCAGTTGGACAGATTTTGTTCTGTAAGAACTGTTCCAACAAACACAAGTTTGAACAGTGTGTCATTAGCATCAAAAATGTAATTATTGTAGACAGGGTGAGTTCTAGTTTGAAGTTTTTTTAACCTAAAGATAGGTTGATATGATCTATGTGCAAAGGAAGGCAACTATGGGGTTTAATCTCTTCCCTTCTGAAGAATGCACTTTGGAGATGAAAAGGTTGGGTATCCATTGTTAAATCTTTATCCTGCTCAGTGGTAATTAGTGGAAGTGAAAAAACTAGCTGTACCGGAAGGCATCAGATTTTCTTAACTGTTTCAGACTTCAAGTCTTTGCAGATGGCCTTGCTCCTTTGTCTTCTAGAGTAAGGAGGGGTCGTGTTCCCAGAACATTTTATATTAAGTTCAAAGCACGTTCATAGACTCTGCAGCCTGTTGCTGCTTTTTGAACTTGTAACTCTAGACCTTCCCTAGGAAATAGACTGATTTGGCTCCATGACTCCATTGCGGACACACCAGGCATTTGGGAAAGGTTGAGGCTAATGGAAAGTTTGAACACTTCACGCTACCAAAGGACAAGAAAGAAATCAGGGTGTGGAAAAATGAGTTTTACTTGCGTTCATTCATTTTGAGGCGAGGGCAGATTTCACCCAACTACTGAGCTTGACATTTTTTTTTTTCACTCAAGCCTCTGAAAACACTTTAGAAGCAAGGTGGAGTGTAAATCAGGACATACGGTGACTGGCAAGCCTTACAGTTTTCTGCCTCATCCCCCCAGTAGACCCCACTCAACCCAGGACTCCGCGCAGCCCCGCAGAGCTCTGAGTCGCATCCGCAGAAGGTGGGAACTGAAGGGCCGCGGAACCATAAGCCGAGGAACCGCGCGGGCGGAAGGAGGAGGGACCAAGCACCAGGCGAGCCTGGCTTCCCGGCGTGTAGGTTTCTAGATGGAGCCCTTACGGGTCTTGGAGCTGTACAGCGGCATTGGGGGCATGCACCAGGCGCTGAGAGGTGAGAGCGAACAGAAAGACTCACTTTTTATTTGCGCCACTGTCTGGCCCCAGCTCGGGCGCCGGAGGGGTGGAGAGGGATGACGCTAGGGGCGGAGACAGTGGAGGGGGGCGGGGGGGCTCGGTAGCCTAGGAAACGGCCTGGAAGCCTAGCCAGGGCTGGCGACCCGTGGAGACGAGCCTCCTCGCCCCCTGACTCTGTACAAAAGGGGTGGCGGGGCCCCTCCATGGTCCCATTTTGTTAGTTTTGAGCCTCAAGACTAGGCCCTGAAGTCAGACTACAATGCTACAGGCCAAGGGGCTGGGGTGAGCCCGTTCTCAGCTCTAAGTGTAGTTGTCACGGAGAGGCCTGGGACTGGGTCCCTTATCCCGTGAGGGTATCACAGCAGGGGCGGGGTGGTGCCAGGGCAGAGTAGGCCTGTGGAGGGGCCTTCAGAGGAATGTTTATAATTTAGGCAAGTTAGTGAATACGGAGGAGAAAGCATCGAGGAAAACTCTGTTAAAAAGTTTTCTCACATAAAATATCTGTTAAGAATTAAAACGGGGTGGGGGGTGGGGAGCCTGGTGGTACAGCAGTTAAAGCACAGCACAAGAAGCTAAAGCCACTTCTGCATGAGTTCGACCTCCGCCTGCCCTGGAGGTGACCACATGGCGCGCCAGACCTCTCCTGACCCGCCAACTGCTTACCTCATCAGCCCGCCTGTTCTGTTCCCCACTCTGTCTCTGGTGAATCCTCTCACTGCCCCTGAGCCTCTGGTCTGTACCTCAGCTCTGTATGTACAAATAAATAAGCCTTAAAAAAAAAAAAAGAATTAAAAGCTAAGAGGGTCTCCCTGGTGGCACAGTGGGTTACAGCGCAGCACTGAGATACTAAAGACACTGCAGCATGAGTTTGATCCCCGCCCCGAGGTGACTCACATGGCGCCCCCGAACTCTCCTGACCAGCCTGCTGCTCTCCTCAGCAGTGTCAATCTACCTGTTCTGCTCCCCACTCTGTCTCTGGTGAAGCCCCTCACTGCCCCTGCACCTCTGGCCTGTACCCGAGTTCTGTATGCATGTATAAATAAATATTAAAAAAAAAAAAGAATTAGAAGCTTTGAAAAGTAAGTTTCCAACTAATAAGTGTCAGGTCCAGAATTTGAACACAAATTTCTCTTAACTCCATAGACTATGCTTTTCTCTTTTTCACAATACAGCTCCTCTCACCCAAGATTTTTGCTGGTAGTGATTCTACTGATTATGGATCTGTGCTGTCCAATATGGTAGTCACTAACTCTATGTAGTCTGGCCATTTAAACTAGTTAAAATAAAATTAAATTGGTTGCTCATTTGCCCTAGTTGCATTTTTTTTTTTTCAGATTTATTTATTTGTGGATACAGAACTGCAGTACAGGCCAGAGGTGTAGGGGTGGGGAGAGGATTCACCAGAGTCAAAGTGGGGAGCAGAATAGGCCAGCTGACGAAGTACATTACTGAGCAGACCTGCAGTCGGGTCAGGAGAGGTCTGCTGCGCCATGTGGGTCACCTCTGGGGCCAAGGATTGAACATGCACTTAAGTGGCTGTGGCCAGCTTGCAGTGCTGCATTTTAACTGGCTGCACCACCAGGGAGGGCCTGCACTAGTTGCATTTTAATTTCTCAGTGACTTCATGTGGCTAATGACTGACATATTGGGCAGCCCAGTACATTCCATTTCTATCATCACAGGAAGTTCTATTGAGCTGTGTGTTAATAGAGTTTCAAGCTTTAATTTCAACTACATACATTTAGAAATAAGCTTTCCTTTTCGAGACCAGACTGCTTCCCTGGAAGTTAAGGTCTGAGGGCAATGCGGGAATTGCTGGTTGAGAGAGGAGAGGTGGATGGACCTACAGGAGGGAGGAATGGAGAGAGAGGTTGAGAAGTAGAAGTTGTGTCATCATGCCAGCACCATTAAAAGTGGACTTTTCTAGCATTATTGGAAAGATTTCTAATGTCTTAATTTCTTTTCTCAAGATCATCCTCAAAATTAATTTTCTCCTTTTCAAATTACACTGTTGTCTGACACCTTTTTTTTATCCTCCTACATCGATGCCTTTTAAGTATTAATTTGACATCCCATTTCTCTCACTCTGGTTTGTACACAGATCTCATACAATTACTATCCACTTTCTGTCAATAGATGAGGGGTTCTTGTATTTAGTCAGATCTAAGCAGTGATGTAAAGTATTTCTTGATCCAAAGTGAATTTTTATTTTGTTAATTATTAGCTGAACTTATAAGATGATATTCTAAGATAATTGAATGGATTATAAAAATTAGTTTTGTTTAACTCACATCAGTGATCTATTTGTAAGTTTGAAATGTAGAAATCTTTAAAGTGAGAAATATACTTTGTTAATAGTGATAAAACATTGAGCAGTAATTTTAAATTCAAAATACCTGCAGGTCTCTTTTTGCTTAGTACTTCCATCCTAATTAAGCTATTAATTTGAATGAAAGCAAATAGACATCTGATGTGTCCTTCGATCTTCTGATTCACAACTAGGTGTCAGTGTTAACAAACTTGATGACATTGGTCATCAGGTATAATTATAGTGAGGTAATTCAAGTGCTATTGGGAAGGAGATTTGTTTTAATAGAGAAGGTGGTGAGTAAATATAGTTTTTTTATATAAAATTCCAAGTGTTAGGACTTTACATTTCTTTGTTTGTTTTGACTTAGGAAAACTTTCTGTTAATTCCTAGGTGTATGATTTAATGGAGAGAGAATAACAAATATAAGAGATAATGACCAAATGTAAATGTTATTTTTTGCATGCTGTTAGATGAATCAGAAGTGTGTAAATACTCATGGCTAGCTCCTCCTGTTCTGGTCCTCTGTTGACAATTATGTGTTGGCTATATCGTGGGGATATGTGAGAAAATCTACCGTGGCATGCTTTATTTTGATTTCTGTCTATAATGAACAAATTGATGTTAAGCACTTGATATATTGAGATATTCTATTTATCATTACAGAAAGCGGTCTACCTGCACATGTGGTGGCTGCCATTGATGTGAACACTGTTGCTAACGAAGTATACAAATATAATTTTCCTCACACACAGTTACTAGCCAAGACAATTGAAGTGAGTAATGACTTATTATTTTAATAGTTATGTAGCAAGAAAAATTTGATTGCATAGTGCTACAAGATAGTGGTTTCTGGTGTCAGGTGGAGAATAAATCATATAAATGAAAAATTTAGAAGGAAGTTAATGTTTTATAGTTTATCAGATTATATTTTTCTCACTTAAAAAAATTACCAGCTTGAGAGAGAGAGTTCAGTATTTGGTCTTCAAGAGAAAGGATTTCAGTATAATATATAATGTGCTTGGCTTCTCTAAATGCTTGGTTTTATAAAGATATTTAATTTTCTTTAATTCTTTACTTTTAAGCAATACTTTCGTAAATCATACATAATAGGAGTGAAAACAAGAGGCAATCGTTGGCTATTACTTACTGAGTGCTCTTTTTTTAAGCTAGCCTGGCAAAGTTGAAGGTACTTTCCTGGGTGATGAGCTCAGCAGGAGTACTTAACACTGATATACATTGTTATTCAAAAAATAATATGAAATTATATTTTCACCCACTTTAATGTGAACATTTTTTCATACAAGTTTCTCAGGAAGTCATAATTTATATAGAATAAATTGCACCTATTTTATATGTGGAGTTTGAATTCTGACCGATATTTGCTAGTGTCTAATCATGCTATCGCAATCAAAGGGTAGAACATCCATCACCCTAAAATATTCCTGAGTGCCCCATTTTAGTTGCTTTTTGATCGCAACCCAAAGCAACCACCAATCTCCTTTCTGTCGTTATATAGTTAAAATTTTCCATTTCTAGTACATGGATGGAATAAGTTTTTTGAATGTAACTTTTAAATATGTTTTGCTTTTGGAATTCACCCATGTTGTATATATCAGGAGTCTGTTTTCTTTCTATTTTTTTGCTGAGGAATTACATAATATAATATGTATATCTAGTTATCTAATGTAGACATTTAGATGGTTTCAGTTTTGGACTGTGAAAAAGTTGCTATGAAAATTCACCTACAAGTTTATATGGACTTTTGGTTTCATTCTTGCGGATTAATACTTAAGTGCTGTGTCATTTGGTCTAAGTTTCTTTAACTTTATGAGAAAATGCTGTTTTCCATAGTGTTCATTTTACATTCTCACAATCAATGTTAAAGGATTTCAGTTGTTTCAAACCCTTACCAATAATACTTGCATTGGCAATCTTCTATTTAATTTTCAAAATTTTTATTGAAGTACATTGTTTTAGTACTTGTTAGTATTTGATGGTATGGATTTCCCTTGTCAGATGTAGTCACTGTAGCTCTCCCATTACCATACCATCAATGGTCTTTCACCAGTCCTTGCGCTCCTCACTCTTCTTCTCTGGCACTCAGTGCCTCAGACCTATTGTTCAGTTTTCAAAAGTTGGTTTAATGTCTGTTCTTGTCTGGCCCTTTGTTTAGTTTTTCTCTATTTCAATTATGCCACAACATCTGATATTTCTCTTTTCCCTCTGGCTTAATTCTCTTAGCACAGCCCCTACTATCTCATCCATGTTGCTACAAAGGCATTAGCTTCCTTTCCATTGTTCTTTGGGTTGCCTAATTTCTGACTGAAAAGCTATAATTGTTATTTCCATTTATCTTAATGTATTGTGTCTTTCTCTGGCTGGAGATAAGATTTTGTCTTTATCACTTATTTTGAGGAATTACATTTTGTTGTGCTTTTGCGTATTTTTCTTTATTTGTACTACTTGGGTCTTGTATTTTCCTTTTTTTTTTTTGGTTTTCATTAAATCTGGGAAGATTTTGACCATCACAGATTAAAATATTTTAAAGTATTTAACCTAAATTTAGCTTAATGTAAACATTTAAAAGTAGGTACAAACATATGCCCATTGCATCCAGAACTTGTTACCCTACCAAGCAAAAAAAAAATATATATATATATATATATAAACAGTAAATTCTCATTGAATGTCTACTTTTAGCAATTTAACCTTTCTGTTCTACCTTTTCAAGAAACTCTGAAATACTTTATGTATTTAAGAACTGATTGGGGCCCCCAACTACATGTCAGATAGAATTTAGAATGATGCATCTCTGTCTACTTTTCTAGCTGTAATTGTATTTTATTTACAGTTTTAATAGATAATAAATCATATTATCTGTGTATAATATAAGCAAGCTAGGAAGAAGGAAGAATAGAGGTAAGTACCTTTAACTCCTTGAAAGGATAATCAGTTCATTAAAGTGTAGTCTATAAGAAAAAAGATGGTGTGTCTTCATACACTATATCATAAAATAGATATGGAAACTATACTGAAGGTCATCTTTAAAATTGAGATAGAAGGTTAATGGAATACAAGTAATGAAAAGCGTTAGAGAATCTTAACATTTATAAAATAGCATGGTCATTTAAGCATTTACTTCATGCAAGGCATTGACCCTTTTAAAGGAAGGTGGCAAATATGACTAAGGATGTACAAGTTGAACTCATAAATGGTTTTCATGGGACTCCTGAGTGAATGTGGTATAAAAAAGATATTTCTGTTCCAACACTCTATCCCTTTTTCCTCATGGAAATTAGAAATGGAGGGAGCTGCTGCTCTCCTCAGCAGTGGGTTTCAGTAGATTTGCCTGTTCTGCTTCCCACTCTGTCTCTGGTGAAGCCTCTCAACTCCTCTTTTCCCACCACACACACCTCTGGTCTAGTTCTTGTATGTATAAATAAATAAAAATAATAAAAAAATAAATCAAGGAAGCACAATGGACTATGGTGATAGATTATAGGTTGATTTGGTGGTAGGTGCACTACAGTGATGATAACCTGATGGGTTATCCCATTATTACCTCAATTAATAATAAATAAGTGAATTAATTTAAAAAAGAAATCTTCGTGACTTACATGAAAATATAAGACTTGAAAAATGGAAATAAGTGTGGTATTGGATAGTTATTGCATATGGCTTACTTTCTAGTTTCTTTTAAATTAATCATAAATTAACATAGTTAAAAGTGGTTTTCTGTTGTACAAAGTTCTTCCTAAAGTTTAAGGAAAATTAAATATATGAATAGCCAGAAGATTTTCTGAACAATGAAGTAAGTGGTCAAATAAAATTGCTCATCAACATGTGATACCGTTACCATCCTGTGCTGATCTAACGTTCTCTGAAATCATATTTCTAGTTTTTGAATAACACATTGTCCCATAATTACACTTACCATTTGAATTATACTATAATGAATATTTCAAGAAACTTTAAAATTACAATTTTTTAAATTTCTAGTTGTATTGGAGCCATTAACTCTTTATTTCCTTTATGTGCTAGATACAGATTGTTCCTAATGTTAAAGATTGTTCTGTTTTCACTTCAGGTTAGGATGTAGCTATCTATAATCTTACTTTCAGTTAGTTGTGAAACCTGAAAAAGTTGTTTACTGTAATGAGTGTGATGGCATACTACTTGAGTTTGATGTCCTAATTGCTTGATATTTTTGACCAATTGTTTAATCAGTGTATGACTTTTCAAATTGTTTTCTTTAGAACTTAGGATTTCAGAGGTGCTTTAAGAATGATTTTTAAAAATAGTTCATTTTAATTTCACTTACATATTTATCTTAAACTACTTGGCAGCCTGTGATTTTTAAAAATCACAAACACGTACTTTCAAATTTAGAATACAAAAGAGGCAATTGTATTTCCCAGATTAATTTGCTCTTAAAAAGCAAAAATTAAAGCTTTTTTGCTTTATTCATTTACTTAAATTTCTTAGAAATATGTCATGATTCTGGACTTAACTGCTTTAACTATATGGCTAAGATTGTACACTAAGTATGTTTAATGAAAAGTAGCAAACCCATGAGTTGGCTTTCTATGTTTATATTTTGCTGTATGATATGGGAGCAAAATAATACATTCTCAACAATTTAAGCCAACCGTGACTACTTAAATTCATCTTATCTATAATCTTTTGAATTTCTTTGACTATATACAACTGTAAAACTATATAATAATTGTGGATATATGAAAATGAGACTTTTCATTTTATGATTGATTAGCAGACAAAATATGAAAAGCATGGTGATTGGTCTGTCCATCTTTTTTTTTTTAATCTAAAAATGTTATTGATAGCTGTTTAAAATTTTCCTTTATTTATGCTAAAAATCATTAATTATAAAATAAAGTTTTTCATGTTTAGCTCTAGAAAACAGCAATTTGTTTTTGGCTTGGGCACACAGAAGCTTGTGATGTGTAGGATTCAAGAAACTAGTGTTTTGTTTTTGCTTTGGCTGTCTCTGGGACATGGAGAAAGCCTTTTATGTTTTCATAGCTCCATTCTGCTGCACCACTTCCTCACAAGATTATTTAAAGTTAGTTTAAGTGAAGTTGATTGAATAGTATTACGTGTTAAAGGGGCTATTAAAATTTCCGACGTTTATTTATAATTAGTTAGCATTTTTACTTCTTTCCCATTCTATCCATGTTTTTATATCTTTCCTTCCCAAAATGTTCATTTCTTAGGGTATTACACTAGAAGAATTTGACAGATTATCTTTCAATATGATTTTAATGAGCCCTCCCTGTCAGCCATTTACAAGGTAAGTATAATAAATACTACTTTGTTGAGAAAGAGTACTTTTGAAGGACTCATTAAATATAAGACCATACCACAGTTTTAAGCATGGACACTTTGAAGTCCATCAGTGGTATTTTCATAATTTGAAATTTTCATAAATTATTCCTTTTACCTATTCATTTTTATAATTCAATATTAATCATAAAGGAACCAGCAGTTACTGCTAAATGAACAAAGTAATTTGGTTAGTGTTAGGTATGCAAGGACTATTATATAGAACATCTTGTATACCTACCTAGGATTCAATATTTGTTTCTGAATCAAATTAAATTATTTAAACTAATGAGCTTTCAGGAATATCTTTCTAACACTGATTAATCAGAACAAATTTCCATAGTAAATATTCATGTTCTAAATAACTTAGCTGTAGAATTTAGAAATCAATCATGAATGTATTTGTATTTTACATTTCTGAAAATCCATATGAACATTCATTCTGATTTTTTATATTTTTATTATACCTTGTTTAATTTAGTACTTATTTTGTGTTTTGGGATATTATATTCTAGATGAAATTTCTACTATTCCATCTTCATTTAGTTAATAATAATTAAAAATTTTAAAGTAACAATAATAATAATTCTCCAAGCATCTTAAATGGAGCATGTAATTTAATTTACAAATTTATGAAATAGACATTGCTGTTATCATCATTTTATAGGTGAGAAATTAAGGCATAGAAAAGTTAAGTAACTTTCCCAAATCCATATAATTAGAAAGTATGAGTCAAGGTTTATCAATTACTTTATATATTCTGTTTTTATAATATGATTTTAAATAAGTTACCACATATAAGGTTTTCATTTAAATGACTATTCTTATGATTAATTTCCATGTAAGTTTTGGTTTAAATAACTCTTTAGCAAATTGATTACTGAAGGATTTATTGTGTACCTATATACCTAACCTTGTCTTGATGCTATCATTATCATCCTTAAGGAGCTTGTAATAAGAATTCTAATGAGAATGAGTGGCAAATAATTATAATATGAGATAACCTATATAATAAAGGAATGCTGACTGTGCCATGCGAGCACAGAGGAGAAAAAGTTCTACATACCAGGAGAGGTATATTCATTTAGAAGTGTTAATCTGAGCTGTGTATCAAAGCAGATTGGGAAATTATTGGAAAAGGTAGAGGACATTCTATGTATAGATGATTCTAAGCATATGCAAGCATATGACCTGTTTAACCTGCAATAAGAAGGACAGAAGAGAATGCAGCCCCAGCAGTGTGAACCTCATATGTACTAGCTATCATGGGCCCCCTTTATCTTCCCAACTCCCATCCCCTCTCTGTGTTAGCCCAGTAGTCACACTGGCAGCATAGCCCAACATTGCCTCTGGCAACAGGAATGATTTTGTGGAACCATCATATTTGTAATGCTGTGATGAAAGAACTGAAGATTTCTGAAGAGTCTAGGTTGACTCTAATCTTCCATTTGAGCTTTTGTTCATTTGTGATTTTGGTCCTGCTATCAAATATGAGGATATTTCAGACCATGAAATGAATAAATAACAATATCTGAATCCCTGAACCTCTTTTTCTACTACTGGTGCTCAACCCATGTCTTTCTGATTCACCTTTGATTATCTTGTATCTTAACTTGTAAAATCTGATTGTTACATGACCAGTTTAAGTCTTTTCTGTTTACACTGGACAAAACCATCTCAGTTTTATCTACTGCTTTGCTCTGCTTAAATGTTGGTTAGTCATTAGTACTATCATATGTTATGCTGCTACCCTACTAAACCAGCTCATTTATCTGACCTTTTGTTGGCTCATCTGGGACAGAGCAAAAACTCTGTGTGTGTTTCCTAAGTCAAGTCATTTTAAGAGAGTAATTATTTTATTTTCATTGACTTTTTATTCTTTGTTACATGCAAATAACTTGACATACTGTTTTGTAAAAATAAATTTTAAGTGTCTTTATTAGATAGGCAAGGCTTTTTATTATTTTTAATTAAATCAGTGAATGCATTTGTTCTATATAGCAACAACAATGATTGTTTATTTTGTAAGGGCCAACTAATTTAATTTTCTCAGTTTTTACTTTCTGAAAGTAATTTGATATCTTTTTATAAGAGTCTTGGTAGACTTACTGTTGCTTTCTTCTTCCCTTTAGAATTGGCCGGCAAGGTGATGTGACAGATCCAAGGACAAAGAGCTTCCTATATATTTTGGATATTCTCCCAAGGTAAAAACTCTTCATTTCTTCTAAAAATTATCTTAAATTTAAACACTTTGCATCAGAAGAATGTGATGTTTGTTATTTAATAGAGATTGATGCTGCCTACAGATAATTGTGCTCATCTTTAATCTTTTTCTGCCATGACTAATAATAGCTGTAAATGTTTGCCATTTCAGGGTTGCCATTACAGTGACAGAAAATTACAGACTAATAACTAAATTCTCTTGTCTCTGTTCATTGTATTAATACAAATAATGTTACTTAATATTGGTATGTGAATGCTGTTGCCTGTGGCCTGAAAATTTGTGCCTGCTTACCCTAGAAACATTCATTCTCTGTAAATGGCAGACCTTTGAGTTAGTTGTAGAGTTCAGAGTTCTCTGTGTGAACCCAAGCTTTGAGATAAACTTCAATAGAAACTAACATTTCAGATGTTAACTTTATCAGATGTGCAGTATTTATCAGGGGAAATGAATAAAATATGAGTTGTTTCCATCTCAATTTGTAAAATTGAGAGTTTAAGAAAATGTCATTATCTCCCCCAAGTAAGGATTTTCTGTACTTTTAGTAATTAAATGCCATTTGTTTATTTTTTAGGTTACAAAAATTACCAAAGTATATTATTTTAGAAAATGTTAAAGGTTTTGAAGTCTCTTCTACAAGGTAAGGAATACATTTGTCTCATGTACATTTAGACTTAGACCTGGTATATTTGATAGCAGATTATTTTTATTCCTAAAAATAAACATGTACATTCTGACATTTTACATATATGGCATATTTTATTCATTAGGACTAATTCTTACTAGTTTATAATATAAAGTATCACAAAGCTACGCTTGTCCCACATTTTGATGTTTGTTGTTTTCCAGAATTCTCATCTTAATGAGGATGGTATTTGTCAATTTTAGCTGCTTTTATTAGTTCCTGTTTCTTTAGAAAGTAGCAATGTTTTCAGTAACAGTTGGTCATGTTAGCAGGTATTTTCTACCTTATAGTTAAGGGAAGAAGCAAGTGCTGCGCTAGACCCTTTCATATGGTGGCCAGATGGAGAGAGAATATCCGGCCACATTCTTGATTAAGCTGCTTTCTGTAGCAATGTTCTCCCATCTTATTTGCTACAGATATTACTCCAGTTTCCTAAATTTATCATTAGTAGATTTGCAATTCTAACTCTACAGTTTGAATTAAATATCTGGTAGTTTTGTTTATTATAGAGAGTGATCTCTTCACATAGAGAGTTATACTAGATATCTTTTTTTTTTTTTTGAGAGGTGTAACTTTTCAAGTATTGACTTACTAGAGTTCTAGCATCATTTACTTTCTAGCAAATGTGAGTGGAGTTAGAATTTCCACTTAAAATGAAGCTTTATGAAAGGAGTGAGAATCACGTTTCTAACTACAGTGGGATTTTTTTCTTTTTTCTTTTATTTTTGTCTTTTCAGAGACCTCTTAGTGCAAACAATAGAAAATTGCGGCTTTCAGTACCAAGAATTTCTACTATCTCCAACCTCTGTAGGTACCACACTGAAAAACTCATATAAATTTACCCAAATGTAATTAGATTCAATGAAAAGAATTGATCTGTTTTGGATCATATTAGTGGTAAATGCTGAAATTAGTTTAGACATGGGTCTTAATTTCTAAACAATGTAATACAGGCATTTAGACCCACTTATATTTAAAAAAAATATGTGTGTGTGTTTATGTGAATAGAGATATAATATATTTATCTCTCTTTGTTGAAACTCACAATGAATGTATTTTTTTTTTCCCACACAGAAAATTAAGGGTCGTATGTTTTGAAAATATGTGACACTTGGTATATATATATTAGGTGTGTGGTATGTGCTTGACAAAATAGAAAAACATGAACAGATAATTTTCTAATTGCTTTTATGAGTCAAATGTACAAACTTAAAATGCAAGCATTTCTTCTGTTTTGTGGGTAAGAAATTTAAGTAATTGATTATGTTAAGATATTTGATATGATATTTGGTAGATGTTTGATATTACTATTATCACTGTGTATTTCTTCTTTTGTCATAGTTCTTACTAGAAGAACAAATCATTGTCCATTTCATTAATAAGTTATACACCTATGGAAATTCCCGCCATTTTTTTTTTTAAAGATTTATTTATTTGTGCATACAGAACTGGGGTACAGTCCAAAGGCTCAGGGGCGGTGACAGGCTTCACCAGAGACAGAGTGGGGAACAGAACAGGCAGATCGACGAAGCATACTGCTGAGGGGAGCAGCGGGTGGGTCAGGAGAGGTCTGCCACGCCATGTGGTCACCTCCGGGGCAGGCGGGAATCGAACTCATGTGGAAGCGGCTTTAGCTTCTCAGTGCTGTGCTTTAACCCGCTGCGCCACCAGGGAGGGCCAATTCCCGCCATTTTTAAGTTTATTTAAAATTTATAGCCTTTTAAACTTTTAAAATTTAGTAAATCCTCCTTTTTAAAAAATGTAATGAGGTAATTAATAGCCAGGAGTGGCTATATTTACATTTTATTTTTTTATGACTACTATATTACCAATAACAAATGTAAAAATATTCTTATATAACCTCTTACCTGGAGAATATAATATGAAAGTGACTCATACATATAATTTATCAGTTTCGTTATTTTTTCCCAAGTAAATGTGCAAAGTAGCAATATAAGAGATTTAAGAATTTGTCACAAGTAAGTGTCCACAATCAGTCATACACTTTTCTTTGGCAATTGCCAAATATATACCTGACATTTTTTTCACTGTCTTCTAACAGTTAATATAGATTTCTTTAATTTCCTGCGTTAACTAACTGCTCTGCTTTACTTACAGCTTGGCATTCCAAATTCAAGACTACGCTATTTCCTAATTGCAAAGCTTCAGCCAGAAGCATTACCATTTCAAGTCCCCGGGCAGGTGGTGTTTTTATTATTGTTATTGTTGTTATTATTTTATTGTAAATATATTCAGTTTGCTAATTTATTTTCAAGAACACCCTTGTGGGGATTTTGTGTACCATGTAGTTGGTTGGTTTCCTCTTCTGAGCCACTTTCTTAAACCAAAACTTTTCTTTCATCATTAGAAAAAAATAAGTTAAAAGTAAAATAAAAATTATTGATGCTATTCTTTTTTCCTCAGTAATTTACCTTCTTGACTTTTTCGTATATATTACTTCTCCCAGTAGAAGCCATTGATTATTTTTTATAAAATTCAATATACTAATCTTAATAATAGCTTAAGAATATATTAGTACATTGGTTACTTTTTGTTTCAGGTTAATCCTATTGATCCTTAATTGATTAAAATACTGTAGTGATTAGTACAAACAAAAAAACTGGTTTGGATTATTTCAGTGGAGGTCTCTGTGACCATCACAGGTAAAAACTCAAAAGTATGTTTTACTAGTAGGCGATGTAATTTGAATCCCCTATAATACAATGCCAATATTAAATAATATTATATCTAATTATACAATATCAACACAGTGACCCTTTCCATGTGGGTAATTCAAATAATAGTGTATAAAGATTATTAAGAAAAAGTTCGTTATAAATTCCTGGAATTATTTTCTTTTATACAACAGGACTTTAGTACCAGTTACTTTTCAGTGATATATTTTTCCCTAGGTGACTCAACAGTAGAAATAACCTTCCAAAATAAAGATTGCTTTCTTTTTTTAATTACTAGATGTTTTTTAGATCTTGAGAATAGTTAACTTTGATTAAAAAACATTTTCTGGAGGCTTTAATGGTGCTTTCTAAACTTGTTTTCCAAATATGATGCTGTATCTATATTCAACATGCTTCCTTCCTATTACTTTAGCTCTTAAGTGTTTTTAATAATAAAAACAGAAATTGGTAACTTCACGAAATAAATTATCTGTAGCATGATGTAACTCTTGCTATATGATTAAAAACTTGTAACAACTTGTGTAAATACAAATAAACCATGTTTCTTTGTTTTTAAATATCTCTGTAAAAGCTAAAGAAAATTTTTGCATGCTTGCTGGTCTGTGTACATTGTCTTTCATTTTTATTGAAACTTTGATAATGCGTATTTCTATTTAATGGCAGGTATTGAGGGAGTTCCCCAAAATTCACTCTGAACACCCACAAAAACATACAATAGATGCAGAAAAGAAAACTGAAGAAAAGAAAATAGAATCAACTACTTGCTTTGACAGTAACACGCAGTATTCTCAAAAAGAGACTGTTCTTTTTAAACTTGAAACTGCAAAAGAAATTGACAGAAAACATCAACAGGACAGTGATCTCTCTGTGCAGATGTTAAAAGACTTTCTTGAAGATGATGTTGACGTGAAACAGTACTTTTTACCACCAGAGTCACTGTTGCGATATGCTCTTTTGTTAGATATTGTTAAGCCTACTTGCAGAAGGTCCACCTGCTTTACAAAAGGGTAGGTTTTAGAGACTCTTATTTGTGGTATGTCCAGAATTAAACAGTATTTCATGGCTTTTGTTTTTTTTTTCCAGAAACATTATTATTTTATAAAATACTCAAAATATAAGTATTTTACAAAATGTTGTTGCTGGAATGATTTTTTTTCTGTTCTTAATTGTGTACTTCTTGGTCCAGTAGAATCCTTGAGTACAATTCTTCTTGGCAGAACATTATGTACACAATCCATAAAAGTGCTTATAAAAGACAGTGCCATTTGTTTGGTGACCTTCATGGGAGTTTAATTATCCGTGCTGGAAACATTTTTTCTGTAGATGGTGAATTGCTGAGTCTTTTGCACCTTTCATTTTATGGCACATCAGACCTTCAACATTTATGTCTATTTTCATGAGCATTGTATAAGAAAAAGTAATTTTAAGATAAACAAAATGGAATCATCTGGCGCATGTTAAAACATACTAACATTTATTCAGTTTTTTTAATAAGTAAATATTCTCATCGTTCAGCATTCTAAAAGTACTGATAGTATAAGACTCTCTCCTGCTTCCTTCTCTTGATCATCCATCTGTTTCATCTTCCAGAGTACTGGGTATGAGGTTACACTCAGTACTCAGCGTATATATTTTTATCCCCTAAACTGTATAAAAGCACACTATACGCATTATTCTTGCCCCCTTTTATAATTGCACAATATATATATTGGGTATTATTGCATGTGAGTATATATAGAACTTTTCTGTTCTAGGTATACAAATTTATTTTTTGATTACCTGTTTATTTCTGAAATGTTACTATCAACTCAATTAAACTTAGAAAGGGAAAATTAGATATTTCCAGAAAATTTTGTACAATTTTGCTTTATTAATGAACTCAACTTTAACTGATAGTTGTGTGATATGAAAATTTATGATTTCTCTTTCTACATACTAGATAGTTACCTTGTTCAAAATGCTGTGTTTCTTATGTAGAAACACCAGGCTCAATTTGATTTTCTTATATTTTGCCCTTGAACTTCTAGAGAAGTGGGTTTATTGCTTTCCATTACCTTAAAAGACTTTAGTCAGCTGTTTGTTTCCTAGCATCAGTATATTCTGTTTAGGTTTCTCATCAAACAAGACTTACAAATTTTGTAATAAAAAATAACCTAGGAATTCTTTTGAAGTTGTAACAATGGTATTAAAGAAGTGAAAGTCTATTTTAATTAATGTAGTCCTAAATACATTTTTAATCATTTTATGTATGTGTTTGTGTGTGAGAAAATAACTTGAAAAATATTTGCTGTAGTGACTTTCTCTAATTTACACCTTAAATTGATAAATTAGAGGAAATATTAATGATATATTGAACTTCCATATTGTTAATAATCTTAGGGAAATAATACATTGCATTTCTGTAGTACTTTATTATTATTATTATATTAATGCATTTATTTATACAATGGTCTTAATTTTTACATAAAAAAGTAAAGATATGCTTTATTATAGTACTACTATAATATTACTATATTATAATGAAAGCAGATAAGTTTAGTGGATTTTTATTTGTCATGGTACTGGAGAGTAGGATTTTGGGTTCATCAGAAGAAATGATGAGTCAGGGAAATTAATAGCAATTTAATTTCATATATCTCAGATAGGGTTTAATGTAACAGGGGTGCCAATATTGGATGACATTGGGAAGTAAAGTCATAAGTGTATGCTTCATACTGAACATTAGAAGTGATAATATGGAAAAATGACATTAATACATAATGTAAAATGGTATTCGCACAACTTAAATGGTACCAAGTTTAGTGTCTGGGAAGCTTAGATAAAATGGTCTATATCTTTTACTTAGTAATCATTCAATTGTAAAACATATTTATGTGACATTCAGAATTATGTTTCAGAATGATAGAATTCTACATTACTCATTAAAGAAATATATAAGAAATTTACCATTAACAAAAAACATTAGGTACTGCATAATATTTATGTTAATTTTTCAGTTATGGGAGGTACATAGAAGGAACGGGATCTGTGTTACAGACTACAGAGGATGTACAGGTACTATACATAGCTTAGGATTAAAATACCTGAAAATTATTTTTGGTGAAATTATATTTAATAGCTAAACTTTGAGAACATTAAAATAATTTTACATGCCCAACTAGGAATATATATAGTTCATATTACATAATAATTCATTATAATAAATCTTTATATTACTGGAGATGCAGTTGTGTACTCAGAATGTTAAATGTTTTTGCTTTCCCTTATTCTTACCTTTTGTAACCTCTTTCCTTCCATAAAGGGTAAAATGATGTTTAGCAATGTTGAAATGTTTCTTTGGGCAACATGTATTTTAGCAAGATTATTAATATTTCAATTATAGATTTTTTTGTGTGGCTAAAATACTTGATAAGGTATACTTCCACTCCTCAAATCATTATTATTTTTTTTTTACTTACAGTTTTCATGTGTGTGTATCTGTGTGTGTGTGTGTGTATTTTTCCTTACTATGCCTTATGGATAATATTGAAAGTAGCCATGACATACAATTTAATTTTCATGGAAGTACATGCACGCACACACACACTGATATATATATCAGTGGTATAGTTGCACCCAGAGTATGCTGATTGTGGACACTGACTAACCAGGTTTTTTGATGTTTGGATGTTTGTAGGTAGGAAGTGCCTGCCATAGAAAAGTGTATGGTGCTACAAAGGCTGAGATACAAAATATTTATAAACTGTTCATGATGGCATGGTTGAATACATACCTGATATATTACAAGTCTGAAATATTTTTTAGTAGTTTTGAAGTGAAATCACGCTATCTACTTTTATTCTTATCTAAGCTCTTACTATTAGTAAAATTTTCTCATAGTAAAGATTCCCTCAGTAGTAAATTAGTGTCTAGATTTCAGAAATCATATTTACTAAGAATGTTTTATCATTTTAAGAAAATACCTTAGTTTGATGACCTTGATATTGAAGTAGATATTTTAGTGGTCTACTTGTTAGTGTTGTAAAATAGTCTTTATGGTCTGACAAAGTTTGGTTTTTGTTTTGTATGGTTTACATTATGCTGACATTTATTGTTTATATTCATATGATTTAATTGAAGTCATTAAAAGTGACAGTTACACTGAAAGTGCCCTAGCTGCTCATAATTAAGCTTTTGTTCATTTTCAAAGTTTACATTGCTGTTAATGAGCCAATTATACAGTTTATTGCACATTTTCCGTGTCTTTTGCTACCATGTTATACTAGACTATATGTCCATCATTTTTAAACTGTCTAACAATAAGTGGTCTTAACAAATCTAGTTGCACTCCTTTTTATCAGTTATCTTGTATGTTTTTTTTTACAGATTGAGACTATCTACAAATCCCTTATCAATTTGTCAGAAGAAGAAAAGTTAACAAAATTGTTAATGCTTAAACTTCGATATTTTACTCCTAAAGAAATAGCAAACCTCCTTGGATTTCCTCCAGAGTTTGGTATGTGATATACATGCAAACCTCACCTTTCATTTTGTAAAAGTCCCCAAATTCATAAAGATTCCAGTATTTTATGAGCAAACCCTTGCCCTGACTTCTGGATGTAAGAAATCTTCCTTTCCTGATTGTGTCATTTGACATTTTCCTGTTCTTCTCTTCTTCATTCATTGGTACTTGCCTCAGTCCATTCCTTCAGACTTCCGTCTCCCCCTCTCTCTATTCCTGTAGTGGTCTGAGTAGTTTGTAGGAACAGAAGGGCCCAATCTGCAGTTCCTCACCTTTTCCCACAGCTGGTTGGTAGTGGCACTTTTTTTTTCCTGCTTACTTCCCTGTTTAGAGGTCCTGCTGTCATAACCCCTCCTTGGATCTTGTGAAAGAATGATTAACATCTTTTTTTTTTTTTTTTAAATCAAAGGCAGTTGAGGAATTTATTTTATTTTTGTGGGACTATATTTGTGCTGCTCAAAGAAACATTTTATTCTGTGTCATTGTTCACTAGAAGGTTTAAGTGGAGAAAAGAGAAAATGGCAAAGTGGGTGGTAGAAGGGTGATGAATTAATACATGAGGTTTTAGGGCACGTCCCTTTTGTATGCTGGGACAAACTGCCAAATGTAATTTGACTATCCTCTTGGTAAATGATTCTCAGCACGTAGTCACAGCAACTAGGTTTATTTGTGCTCTCTGCCTTTTTCTTAGTGATCTCATTCACTCACAGATATCCTGGGAGCATGATTTAAGAAAAACACAAACTTTCCTTGTCTTAGTCTATGTCATAAAGTGAGTGAGAACTTCATAAAACAAATAAAAAGCTGAGAATTGGATTCAAGAATTTAATTTCCAGTCTGCTTTCCTAGTTACTCTTTTTTTAGAATGAGTAAGCAAAGGTATTTTTACGTAATAAAAAGAGAAAAGAGATGGCCTCTTTAATAAAAATTGTTTCTGAGTATTGTTCATGTGATTGTTTTTTTCAAGGAATAGTGGTCACTTTAATACAGAAACTTAGGATGAACCTCATGGTTGGACTATCCTAGCTCAACTATAACTACCCTCCCTCTACTTTACTTTATGGATTTGTAAAATGATATTTATAGCACCATCCTTGTTAAGTATGTTAGCATATGTAAAATGTTTATATAACAACTGATGTGTACTATAAAATTTAAGTGTTAACTTTTGTTTTTTATGGTGGATACTTATTTGCTTTTAGTCTTTACCTCTTATTTGTTTCCATAATTTCAAATTTTAGGTGACAAATAGGATTTTTCAAAGCTTTCTGAAAACATGTATATAATGTGTTTAAGAAAGCTCTTTTAATTGCCTAGCTTTTTTTACTTTTGAATCTTTACACCTGGCGATCTGGAAGACAGGTTTGGGGGGAGGGTGGTTGACACCCTAAGCTTAATGTTTTTTAGCATGTGATATATTTTTACATAAAATCAAGCTTGCCTCAGTGTTGTTATTGAGCAACACTGTGACAGAACTGTCCTTCACGTGTTTCTGTTGACTCTGAATACAAAATGGGAATTATTTGGTCTGTTTTTAATCTGTCAGTGATGGATTTACATTGATCTTGCTGTACATTTTGTCTCGTTCTCTTTGTGACTAAAGGCATGCAATCATAGGTGAGATAGAAGGCTTTGGAGAGGGGGACTCTTATTGAAGGCAAGCTGCTATCTTGGCCTCATTAATTCTGTGTTTCTGAGAATCATTTGTAATGTACCTGGTTTTTTTTAATTGAGATAACATTAGTCTGTAAAACTATAGTTTTCAGGTGTGTAATTTCTCACCTCATTGACTATATCACACCATATTCCCCACCAATTATCTGGTGTCCATTCCTGTCCATTCCCTCTACTGCCTATATTATGGTGAACATCATTCTATTATGTTTTAGTTTCTCTTTTTTTTCTTTATAGTGTGCAGTGTGAGAAACCATAAAGTGTTTGTCTTTCTGCTTCTGACTTAGTTGCTTCCCCTGGAAGTCCACTCATGTTGTTGCAAATGACCAGATTTCATCTTTTTTTATGGCTGAGCATATTACACTGTGTGTGTGTGTTTGTGTGTGTGTATGTTTGCACATGTGTGTCACACACACATATACCCAACATCTTTATCCACTCATCTGTATTTGGGTATTTGAGTTGATTCCATACCTTGATACTTGTGAGTAGTGTTGCTGTGAACATAGTGTGCATGTATATGTTTTCAAACAAATAGGTGCTTTATGTTCTTTGGGTAAATACTTGGAATTGGGATTACTGGATTATCTGGTGGTTCCACTTTGAATTTTTTGAAGAACCACATAGTGTTTTCCATAGTGACTATAGAAATTAACATTCCCACCACTAGCACCTGAGGTTCCTTTTTTTTTGCACATCCTCACTGGCACCTCCTTGTTCTAAAAAGTAACCTTTTGACATAAAAAAATCATGTCATTTTCTGTAAGCTAGCTTAGATTTTAATAGCTATATATAAAACAGGCATTCTTTCAAATCTTACTTGTTTGTTTTTAACCTTTTCTCCCTCTGATGCAATCTTAGTATTGCAAAAGAAATCCTGGCATATTTTTAATGTTATATTTGTACCTCTTGCTACTTTGGATGAAATAATTTTTGAGGCGAGATGCATTTGGTTAAGACGTGTTATCTTTGCAATAGCAATTCCATGATGATTTTCCATTGAAAATAAACTTTTATTCTGATGATTAATATTATTTTAAAGCAATAAGTTTAACACCAAATGTTGATGAAGTAACTAGCATAATCAGCTCTACCTCTGGTCCTTACAAATGTATGAAATTATCCTATTCTTAAGCCTCTATAAGTTTTTCCTTTCTTTTATTATCTAATTTGTTTGTCCTTTATTCAAATAATTGATGTGCCAAACTGAATGTGAAATTCTGACATTGTAACCACCATAATGTTCATTCTTATGCATGGACAGGCCTTATGATGATAGTTTCAAAGCTTTGTTCCAGCAAATAATAGATCTGAGGGCCATTTTCCTTTGAAAAATAATGTAACAAATAGAAGTCCAGTATGACAAAGTCAATTTATGAAAATAAGTAGACTATAAAAAGCAAGTATAAGGGACTTGTATCTAGAATATATAAAGAACTCTGTTAGCTCAGTAACAAAACGATAAGTAAATCAATTTAATTATGGGTAATGAATTCAAGTAGACATTTCTAGAAAGGATATAAAAAATGGCCAGTAAGTACATCATATGATACTTGCATGTTATGTGTATAACATACATATAATTCACACTGTCTGTGCATGTCATGGGCATACTATCATATGATGAGGGGATGTGAAATATTATTAGCTACGAGAAATGTAAAATAAAACCATGATTAAGGTACCATTTCATAAAAAGAAAAGTAGTAGCAGTATTGGCAAGGATGAGAGCAGATAAAAATCCCTTGTACAGTGCTGGTGGGAGTATAAAATGACCTACTCCTGTTGAAAACAGGCTGGCATTTCCTCTGCTGTTGGACATAGAGAGCATATGACTCAGAAATTTTACCCGTAGGTATGTATCAGGGATAATTGAAAACAGGTCTACAAAAAAACTTATATAAGATTCAAAACAGCATCATTCGTAATCTTAAAAAAAGCAAAAAAAAAAAAAAAAAATGGCCCTCCCAGGTGGCGCAGCGGGTTAAAGCACAGCGCTGAGAAACTAAAGCCACTTCCGCCTGAGTTTGATACCCGCCTGCCCTGGAGGTGACCACATGGCGCGGCAGACCTCTCCTGACCCGCCCGCTGCTCCCCTCAGCAGTGTACTTCGTCGATCTGCCTGTTCTGCTTCCCCTCTGTCTCTGGTGAATCCTCTCACCCTCCGCATCTCTGGCCTGTACCCCAGTTCTGTATGAATAAATAAATAAATCTTAAAAAAAAAAAAACAAAAAAACCAACAATCCGACTGTGTGTCAGTGAGTGAATAATTAAGTAAACTCTGCTATATCCACACAACAGAATATTATGCAGCCATAGGAAGGAAGGAAGTACTGTTTTGTAATATTAATGAACCTTGAAAACATGCTCAGTGAAACAAACTAGAAATAAATGATAACATGTGATGATTCCATTTATAGTAAATGTTCAGAATGGCCAAATCCATAGAAATATAAAGTAGATTAGTGGTTGGAAGGCAGGGAAGGAGAATGGGGATGACTGATAATAGATATTAGCTTTCATTTCAAGGTAATGAAAATGTTTTAGAAATAGGTAATGGAGATGTATGCAAAACTCTGAGACTATATACAAAAACCCAATGAATTGTACACTTCAAATAGGTGAATTTTATAGAATGTGAATTTTATCTCTGTAATGCTGTTATTAAATCATGTGAAATCATGGTAACCACCTCTTTTCCTAGTGTTGACTAATACACAGATTTTAACAAGGTTTGTGCATGTTATATGTATACTATCATATGATGTTATATAATAAGATACAATAGTGTCTTGTGTAGGCAGTGCAATATTACATATTTTTGATTGTCCCCTTAGGAGACCCTCGGGACTTATTAATGTAATTAACTGTTGTACTCTTACTAAAAACACATTCTTTAATCCCTGGAAGCTAATATTACAAATAATTATATAATATCATAAATTGTTATCTCTTTTCTTCTAGGATTTCCTGAGAATATAGCTGTGAAACAGTGCTATCGTCTACTTGGAAATAGTCTCAATGTGCTTGTAGTAGCTAAACTAATAAACATTTTATGTGAATAAGTTTGAAATAAATGTGAAGGATCGTTATGGCAATTCCTTCATGCCTGGGTAATAATTGTGAAATTCTATTTTGAATTTTGATGAAGTCCAAGTGTATTTTCATATCTCTTTAAGGAGAAATTTAATACCAAATTGTTTTCTTAAATTTATATTACTGTATGTTTAAAAGTAGAAATAAATATAACAGCCATAGGAATCCAAGAAATTGTTTACTTTTGTATGTTAAATAAGGTCTTATGAATTCTGTCATTTTACTTTTTTGTTAAGTGAATATTCCTTGTTCTAAAATGATTCTAATTTAGCCTGTTTCAAATATTAAATATTTTACCTAATTCCAGTTATTGTTCACTTTATATAATAAGTCTGAAGAATATGTCAGAAAATTATACTAACTTCATTACCTCCATCAGGAAGCCATAGGTAATGCAACTATGTTAGCTTACTATCTTTTCTTCTATCGCCATCTGACAGATAAACTTATTGTCTCTTTTTCATTTGTATGTACTTCTCTCTAGCTTTTATGAGATCTTGATTTTTTTCAGCTTGTAAGTTAAATTTTTTTTCACCATCTAAGGAATCTTGGCATTAGATTCTAGGGAGGAAATTCTACCTTTTAGCCCATTCTCTATGACTATTATGTGGACTGACTTTTATATTTAAGGTTCTCTGTTATTCCCTCTTAGTAGACTTCTTTGAATTAGGGTTTCTAGAAATCAGACTGTCTTATGGTTTTGATTTAAGTAATACTATGAGATAAGTCAAAAAGAAATTAAAGGAAGACCAGAAATATTATCATAAAATTTTAATTCATAATTCTTAAAAAGCATTTTTTTTTAATGTGGAGCATTTGGAACCCTTTGCATTGCTGGTGGGAATGTGAACTGGAGCAGTCATTGTAGAAAAGAGTCAACAATTTCTTAAAATAATTAAGCTTAGAATTACCATATGATTTAGCACTTCTGCTTCTGGGTTTCTGTGGAAAAGAGCCGAAAACAAAGACTTGAATGGAAATTTATATGTCAGTGTTCACAGCAGCATTATTCACAACAGCCAAAAGTGTATATAACCCAAATGTCTATCAGTAGATAAACAAAATGTGGTTTATGCATGCCATGGCATATTATTCGTGTCTTTCAGTTCCTTAAAAAGGGAAGAAAATTCTTACCTATATTACAACATGGATGAACCATGAAAACAGTATGCTCAGTGAAATAAGCTAAACATAAGAAGACAAATATGTAATTCCACTTAAATGAGGTCCATAAAGAACCAAATCCATATTAGAATAGTGAATACCAGGTCTGGGGGAATTTGGGGAATGAGGAGTTAATGTTTAATGGGAACAGAGTTTCTGTTTGGGCTGGTGAAAATGTTCTGGATATGGATAATGGTTGCATAATAATGGGTGTGTACTTAATGCCACTGTAGGAAAATGGGGATGACTGGTTCTAAGTAGTCGCTTTCTTTTCAAAGTGATGAAAATACTTTAGAATTAGATAATAGTAGATGGATGCAAAACTCTGTGACTATGCACTAAAATCTACTGAATTGTACCCTTTAAATAGGGTGAATTTTACAGAATGTATACCGTATTGATTCCTAAAGCTTACAAAATCTTTTCTTACAAAGAAAAGTCTAGATAGGAAATTTAACAAAAACTGGAAGATAGGGAATTATTTTCCCCATATAATTCTTCTTTATAACCTATAATATTCCTGTGTTTTTTAAACATGGCTTCATTGTTTTAAGTATTTGCTCTGTATTTCATTTTGGCTGCATCTTTATGTCTATTCATATCAGGGCAGAATTAAATTATAAGGGTGTAAATAAGGAACATGTTTATTTAGCTAAGTTCATCTATAATCAGATGAGATCACCTAAGGAGTTTAAAGAGAGGGAGTGAGAGTGAGGAACAGGCTTGAAACTGTATCAGTCCTCAGGCTCAGGTCTCTGTGGTTTACTGTCTGGTCCATTTTCTGGGAGCTGCCCCTCCTTTTAAACACCTACTTAAAAAGCTCAAGGCATCTAGATGACTTCAGATGTGGTATTTTTCCTGAACCTTGTTCTAGAACTTTTATTCTGAGATGATTTGTAACTTGCTGTTACATCAAATTGATATTTCAATACAAATTAATCATCCATTCTAAAATCAGTTCCACATTGAACTTCAATATTTGTCATTATGGTAGAGTTTCTTTTCCATTATCTCAAGTTCATGTTGTATTGTTTAAGACCATCTTCACTTTTTCTTGTACTCTACTTTCCTTTATCAGTTCTATTAATAAGTGACCCTCCAAAAGACAGCCAGTCCTGCGCTATGATTCATTGTAAGGAAACTGACTAAAAGTCACTCTGAAATCTCAAAATACACATGTATATTTGCAGCTAGATAAGTGTATTTCAGTAAATGTGGACATTCAACAGATTTCAGTCTTCTGAATTAAATGTGCTGTGAATATAATTTTAACCAAAATTTTGTTCACAATAAGTAGTCCTTTATGTAAGTACAATTACATTTAATCCCTCCCCCCAAAAAAGATTGAAAAATACCTAATAGGATATGATGTCTTTGTATAGTGATGTAAGTTAAGTTTGCATTTTGAGTTCTCACTCTGAGTGGGTAGATGCTATGATTTAAGTTAATTTTAAGTGAAAATTAGAGAATGTAAACTGGGAAGACAAGAATTTTTAACCTTTTTTCTACTTTTGCCATCCCAGTGACTAAACCAGTATAGGTACATAGTAAGCACTCAAAAATATTAAATATTTTTTAATGATTATATAATCACTAAGTGACCATATTGCATTGATAGAGAAGCTACATATAGGTCATCACACTGGGGTTTAAATATCTTTAAGTCATTATCCTGAGGATAATTTAATCTGTTGTTTCATGTCTCTCATATGTAGAGGAATAGCCAAATTTATTCAAGTTTGTAATACATAATTAAAAAAAAAGAATTCTAAGGTAGTGATTGAGCTTTCTGGAATATGGGGGAAATTTTACAGATAGAAATTTTTAAAATATTGTATCCTGGTAAACAGCATTTTGTTATCAGAGTCTAAGGTTCAGTTTTGCTTTTATTATTTGCTTTTTCTTTATTTGCCACATCAGTGAAATTCAATATTTATCTCTTATTTATTGTACTTAGCATAATCACATTGAGAAGGAATAAGAAAAGGAAGGTGGTTAAATGTTGGTGAAAAATTATTAAAACATTGCTGATGGGCATTGTGTGGTATCGTGCATCTGAAAAGTAGGAACATGTACTGTAAAACTCAGAGTGTTGTAAACTAGTATTAATAAAAAAGAAATATTGTATTCTCACTTCTTGTTTGGGTAAAAGGGAAAAGCCTCATTTCTTCTTGCTCTTCCTGGTAAGCACAATTATAAAGTCTGGATAAATATGACTATAAAATAAGAGGAACCAGAATGAGAACTTTGAAAGTTAGGAAATCAATCTGATAACACCCAAGACTGGAGGAGAAACAGAGTTGCTGGACATCCTATGATCACCCATCAACGTAATAAATAAGGTAACTAGGATCTAATTTGACATCACCTGTCATACCAAGAGCTATGAAAATCACAACTTTTGAATAAGAAGAGACAGTCAACTGATGGCAATACTAATATGAATCAGAATTACATGACCATGATTTTAAATGTCATTATAAAAATAAATAGGATAGTTCAGCAAGTAAGAGGTATTTTTTGTTAACAAAAGAACCACAGTGGCATATGAATTATACCCCAAGTTAAGAAAGAAAGAAATTATATAAATGAAAAATGCAATTACCAAAATAAAGAACTTTGCACAAGGGAATGACAGAATAGGAACAGTGAGTTTGAGACTAGATTAGCAGAAGTTATCTAATCTTAATAGCAAAGTGAGTAAAAAAAAACACTCAGGAACTGTGAGACAATAATATATTTGGAGTTCCAGAAGCAGAGAAGAAAGGAGGATGGAGCTAAAAGTATGTAAGGAAATAATGGGTGAAAACATCCCAAATTTAGTCAAAGATACAAACTTGCAAATTCAAGGAATTAAAAGAATTCCAGATCAGAAAAACTGAGCAAATTCTATGCCAAGGTGTATTATTACTAGCCTTTTGAAATTAAAAGAAAAATCAAAAGGCAGAAGTCATTTCTTTTTGATGACACTACTCTAGGCATTTGTTTAATGGTGGAAATACATCCTAAAATATGTGTCATTAAGGGAGTTCATCATGGTACAAATGTAGAGTGTAATGGCACAAGCCTAGTATGTATAACCTATGACATACAGAGGCTATCTGGTATAACTTACTGCAGCAACCATCATATATGTGCTTTATTGGGGACCAAGGTGTCATTAAGTAATGTGTGATGGCATAGGGGATACAATTTAAAAAACAACAGACTTTCATCAGAAACCAGAGGCATCAGAAGGAAGTGGCAAGCTTCCTACGTGCTGAAAGAAAAGAATGTTCAATTGCAAATTTTGCGTTTGGTCAAACTATCCTTAAAGCATGAATGGGAAATAATGACGTTCTTTAATGGAGCAAAACCAAAGCTATTTATTGCTAGCAAAACCTAACCATAATGAGTGGCTGAAGAGAGTTCTTAAAACAGAAACGGAATATTAAATGAAGGTACCTTGGACTATTGGGAAGGAATTAAGAACTGGAAAAAAAAAAAAAGTATGGATCTATACAATAAATTATAAAACATATTGGATCTTTAAAAGGATTATAACACCAGGGCCCTCCTTGGTGGTGCAGCGGGTTAAAGCACAGCACTAAGACATATAAGCCATTTGAGCCTGAGTTCCGTCTCTGCCCCAGAGGTGATCCACATGGTGTGGCAGACCTCTCCTGACTCGCCCGCTGCTCTCCTCAGCAGGCTTCGTGTTTCTGCCTGTTTTGCTACCCACTTCGTTTCTGGTGAATCCTCTCATCTTAGGCCTGTACCCTAGTTCTGTATGCATAAATAAATATTAAAAAAGGTTATAATACTATCTGATATTAAATTCAATGCTATTTAGTGAGAAGAGACCTAAATGGAACTGAAGTTTCATTTCAGTGGAAGTGTTAAATGCTGATACCAATAGA